AATTTATGCCTATCCTTGCATTGTTTGGTGAAGGCAGTTAGTCCTGATTTTGCATTTTTATGTCTTTCATCTAGATTTTCCTACACCTCATATATGTTAAGCTGCCAAAAAGATCCGTTACGAGCCCTACTCTGTTCGACTGCGCATCGAATACTTAAAGAATGTGCTTAGTCTATGTTGACGATGGTATGCAGCACTCCGAAATATGAGCTTTGCATGAGGTAATAACAGTATTTTCGTCTATCATGTGCAGCACATGGGAACATTTCTAGAGCTGAAAACATCGTTTTGCCGCGTAACGGTTCTTTCGGAATGTCCGCAGCCACTGGGCCTTGCTGGTACTTCTTCTATTCGTAATTGATGCCAACAGTCATATGATTGTGAGTCATTTACCAGAATCACGATGTCGTTGACTTTTCCTTTTGATTGTTGATCATTTGAGTGCATAACGTTGTGATCGTTATCAAGCTACGGTAACATGCTAAGTCTGCGCTACTACGTAAACCGAAGAAGAAGGCGACAAGAATGAATATGTTCGATAGCTCAAGCTTCGAAATCAACAGAAGTGATTTAAGCCTGATTGCTCTTCTCTGATCGAAGATATTGAAAGCGAAAAATGAAACATACGAGATTTTGGCTCTTCATTTCTCAGTTTGGAGGTTATTTGAAACGGAATTCCCAATGTGAGCAAACGAATAGAAGTTTTTTTGTACTAAGTGCAAAAAGAAGTAGTGTACTAATCCCAATATTCGGACTCTGAATTTGCTGAAACTTGGCCCGAGGTTCTCGAATGCTAATTACTAAATGGATGCTCCTATGATGGGGCTCTTCAATTATACTTAGTGTACGTACAAGAGATAGGCCAAAACATCATTGTGCTAGTATTTTCTCTAATGGGCCTATCCGACAATGTCAACAAATAGCATGTTATCGCTAACATCAGAATCACTTCGATAACGACCCCCTTTCATTGCCCGAGGGTAGGCCTTATGGAGCAAAGCTATGCCCATTCCCCTGCGGTATATCCTGAGGGACTTTTGCATTGCGTCGCCTCTAATTGCAGCAGCACGAGTAGTGCCCTCCTGCCGCGGGATTGAGCCATTCCCTATTGCTGCGCCTTGAGATGTTCAAACTGTATAAATGCAATAAAGAAACCAAAAACCGAAAAATTTGATGAATTTTGGGGATGCGTCAAAGGGAGAATTGGGATGAGTTTGCTGAATTCAAGTTAAAACGTGTTCAAACGAAGCGGAGCAGAGACCTTCTGCGACAAAATGTCTTGTAGTTGAACCCGATTCTTATCCTGCTGGTGGTGAAACTTTGCCACGGCATCTTTCCTCTCTTGTATTTTTAACCATTTTACAATCTGAATTGTAGGATTAGTCATTAAAAATAGTTTGTGAAATGAGATGCAGACGCGTCACAAAAGGTAGAGTTATGAAGAATTGAATGAAATGATGGGAAATGGTTAAAGGTGCATCCGCGGGTTTTACCTGAAAAGAAGAAATTACAAGCAACGTAAAAACCGAAAACGCACGTGAGCAACACGCAAATGCGAAAAAGAAACTTGGAAGAAACTATCCGAGCAAGTATAAAACGGCAACAGCTTATTTTCGAAAATGCGTGAGCGTCCGTCAATCAAAGGAGAAGCGCCCTTTTCTAAAGCCTTTTCCTACAAATTTGTGAAGTTATTCGTAAGTTAAGTATTTTGGCAAATCAAAAAATAATTGCATTACATAGATTGTAGAGGCAGTAGGCAGCTGTGTTTGGCTACCCACTGAAAGGAACGCTATGTGAATGGCATCCTCTCAGTTGCTGTCAAGCAAAAGAGAAAGCGGCTTTTGAAGCTTTCTCCTACTTGTGTCGGAGTCATTCGTAAGTTAACTCCTTTTGGCAAGTTAAAACATAAATACATTAGATTGTAGAGGCTAGGCAGCGGTGTTCAGCTGTCAACTGAGGGAAGGCTAAAAGACTCATAAATGCAATATAATATTGTTGCCATTTTGGGTTTTATTTACCGAGCACTACGTCAACAAAACTCTTTACACACTTCTAATGAGAGTTTGTAGAAATCAATGTATCTGTTAACTAAGTTTTGCAGTTTTGCAGTTTTGTTCTGAATCCGTTTCTTTTCGCTTTTCGATATTGGGGCGCTCAAATTTTGATATCGTATAGATTGCCATGCGAACTATAAACTGGCACAAAACGTTCGCTTTCTGATGACAAAATAGAAAAATCTAAAAGTTTTTTTCGGAAACTAAAATTTGAGGATTCGTGATTTTGAGTGAAAATTATGACATTCTTAGCATAGATCATGCACAATAATCCGAAAGCGTGCATAAACTGCTGCTAGAGGTCGACTCATTTAGCGCCGTAAGGAAGAGAGGGAATTCGAAGACAACTAAAGATTTGACGCCCTCACAAAATTGAGAGAGGCGCTGTACGCAAAGCTGCTTGAGTACAAGCGTCAGTCACTAAAGAGTCGAATTCTCAGAATTCGCCAAAACTTTGCATAATATGCACGTTACTTGCCCTGGCGATTACGAATACCGTATTTATTCTTCAAATTAACACCTCTTTTCTTGTTTAGCTTGAGATTCCATGCCGTAAGCCTGCTATAACATTACATTCCCCAATGTAGACCCTCTTCGTCCGCCTTTAGCCTTACCATAGTTGGTAGGCTGGGAGATCCCGGTGTCAAAGTGCTTGTAAGCCTCCGATAACAGAACTATCCTGTACTATCTAATGAACAAGGGTTTCTTGCTAAGTGATATAACTGCGAAATTCAGCAACCGTTTGATCCTCCACTACAGCGCGATGACCTTTACTCAAAGTACACCAATTCGCAAAAATCTCTGAGGTAAAAATAGAGGCAGTTGTGCAGACTTCTTGCAACAAGAGTGCTCACTAGCGTACCTT